CCTAAAACTAACCTCACAGGTACCTGACCCTAAAACTAACCTAAACTCTATTCACACCTTGGTCCTAAACAGAACCCCCCAAAATCAGCCTCCGAAGTCGTGGGGACCAGGCTTTCGTCCCCACAAGGAGCATCCGGTCCCCACAAAGCTGCTTTTTCCTGAAAAATCGTCCCCACCAAGTAGCAAAAACAAGGGCACACACACAATCTAGTTTTTCCTTTCAGAGGTGGGCAACAAACTGTCACACTCTTTGCTGTACTTTATCTTACACTGAACCTAATTTGCACCGTCTTCATTTAGAAAGGCTCTGACTCTTCAACAAATGTCACYAAATGCACCTTGTTAGGATTTTGCGCATCTGCCTTTAAACAAAACYGCTCATTTTGACGACGGGGGAAACTTTTTGCTGGCCTTTCTCAGCACCGATTTAATTAACCCTGAACATAAATTACCATGAAGGTGACAAGTGTCACTCTTGAGACAAACTGCTTTTTWTTTTRTTKTTTTTTTGTAGAAAATCTGTTTGGGATGACTTCTCCTCTCCTTGTTCATGCTGAGTGTTGTAATTAGAACATGCATTCTGCACTCTGCGCTGCCGTCATGCCTACTGATTCAAGCATCTTGGCTTCCAAGTCTCCCTGTTCAATCAAAATCTTCAGAGGATCAAAGTCACTGTAATTCACCAAATATCTGACACTTTCCAAAAAAGAAAGGGGAAGAAGATTTAAAATGAATCCAAACTGAGCTCTTAAAAAAACCCAATGTGACTCAGTTGTTTTAAACCTTTTACTGTTTTCAGTTTCAGTTTGTTGTGATTTGGAAAGGCTGCTTCTATCTTTTAACATGTAGGGCTGCAGAAAGTATCTCTCGTAAAATACCTAACGCATGCACAACTTTAAGCTCCTGTTATGGTAAATTCATTCTCCGAGGGGGGAATATCATACACCAACCTCCCTGCATGTTCTCAGGAGCTCCCATAGAAAGAATAAATAAATAAACTCCACTGTGCCGTTCTACTTCCTGCTCACATACGGTTGGTTATTCAGCAGGCGGACTCAGAAGGCAGGGTTGATTTGACTGGATTTTACAGATGTTTATGTTGTCMGTGCTGTACATGTGTTTGCAGATAGTGTGTTCTATACTGCTTGGTTTTGAGGACCTTTGATTTGAAATAAAAAGCGGAGAATGTTGCATGGCTAGAAGTCGTTTTTTTTTTTAACACGGACATTTTTTTTTTAAATTTCACCATCACTCTGTATGTGATCCTTCCAGAATATTCAATTTGTTCRGTCTGGACTGTGTCTGCATTTATCTGAAAAGGAATGTCATATCTTACTGTCAGTCTCTCGTGGATGGATGAGTGTAAAATACTTCACATGCTTCAAAACATTATGGATCCTGCCTGGCACAAATTAATATTTTTGAAAACCTTGAAACTTCMTTCCACTTTGCGCGTTGCCTGATTAATTAGTCAGCTAACGATCCGAATCTGTCAGTCGGTTGTGTCTTTTTCATTAACAAATGTACCAGGTTTCGTAAAAAAAATATTTAAAAAAATAAAATAGACATCAAAAGTTAGGCAAACATCTTTCTATTTATTTAATTCATTCAATTTCTTTTCAACTCAACAAAATAAATCCTCATCATGCAGTTTGCGGTCATTAATAGCGTGAGGAAGGTTATTTAGTATAGCTTCCATTAACTGGATTTTTTTCCTCTCACTCAATTGAGTAGTCAAGAGCGGGTCATGTTGGAGGTTTAAATGCACGCCACTGAAATTAGGGGCCGCGCGGTGGGGCATCAGGACTGATACGGTCCCATCAGCTTCGTTAATGTGCAACTCCCTAACAGTTTTCCCTCGTTACATCAGAATGGCYTGCGCACATCAAACAAACCGCTGCAGGGTTTACCTGGAAGCTGCCTGAGGCAACTGCTCTCACACCCTCTTAGACTGGTGTGTTCTTACCTCCCTAAATGAGCCAAAATACAAGTTCCTTCAGCCTGATTCTCACGCTCTGAATGAAGCTGGTCTAAAAATGTCTCTTGTACGTTTTGAGCCCCCCCCCCCCTTTTTTATCTCATTACTATTCCTCTTTCTATCCCCCATCCCTGCTTGTCTGCTTGCCCTCCCTCTTTCTTCCTTAATCCCTCTCCCTCCCTGAATCTCTTGTTTTTCTCCTTTCTTTGGATCAGTGCCCACTGTGCCTCCGGGAAATGTACAAGCTGAGGCTGTCAACTCCACCACTGTGCGTTTTACCTGGACTGCCCCAAGTCCTCAGTTTATCAATGGAATCAACCAGGGATATAAGGTAAGCGGGCTCCTCTCTGGCAACTGGTGCTCTCTAGTGGTCAGTGGCAGAAGGGTAAGCTGTTGCCACAGTGGGATTAGGAGCAGCCACCACAACGTTCTCTGATCCAGCCGCACGTTCCCTTGTTATTTCTTTAAATCGATGATATGTGTAAGCCGTGTGCCTAAAATGTGCAGAATGACACCATCTGCCTTCTCATCAAACCTCCAGCTCTTGGCATGGGAACCAGGTCGCTCTAACGAGGTCAGCATGGTTACAGTCCGCCCCAACTTTCAGGACAGCGTTCATGTCGGCTATGTGTCGGGCCTGAAAAAGTTTACAGACTATTATACGTCCGTGCTGTGCTTCACCACCCCTGGAGATGGGCCCCGCAGTCCTCCTCTGCGTGTACACACCCACGAAGATAGTATGTGTTTCCATGAGATTAAATAACTGTACAAATAATCTTAAACTAGGCTGATTTTATTTATTTTTTTAATTGCCTGATCTAAATCACTTTTAGCCCCTGGAGCTGTGGGACACCTGAGTTTCACCGACATCCTGGACACGTCTTTAAAAGTCAGCTGGAAAGAGCCACAAGAGAAAAACGGTCTTTTAACAGGTAGCTTTAACATAACTTAATATTATCATGTGAGATCACTTTGAAATAACAGTGRTGTGTGTGTTAATGCACCGAGTGGAATTCATCCCCGTTTTCAGGTTATCGCATCTCCTGGGAGGAGTTCAACCGAACCAACAGCAGGGTGACCCATTATTTGCCCAACCTGACTCAGGAGTACAGGGTGACGGGGCTCACTGCGCTCACGACTTACACCATTCAGGTGGCAGCCATGACTTCCAAAGGCCACGGACTGCCCTCTGCYTCCACCATATCTTCTGGTGTGCCCCCGGGTCAGTGGACGAACGAGAACACGACGAATAATGCGAATCTCGAAATCGCTTTTGTGTAAAATAGAATTTTGCTCAAGAATCGCTGAAAAGAGTAATGGCTTCCGTGTTTTATTCTTTATTTTATGATTGCCTTTGACAGAGCTGCCTGGTCCTCCCACAAATTTGGCCATTTCTAACATCGGCCCACGTTCCGTCACCCTGCAGTTCAAACCTGGTTACGACGGCAAGACGTCAATTTCGCGTTGGCAGGTCGAAGCTCAGGTAAGACAGTTCACTTCTGTTTTAACTTACTGATGTGAATCATTTCTTTTGTTTGTTTGTTTGTTTGTTTGTTTGTTTATTTATTTATTTATTTATTTATTTATTTATTTATTTATTTATTTATTTATGGATGTATGTATGCAACTCATTTCCCTTTGTGTTTCAGATTAGTATAGTTGGAGAGAATGAAGAGTGGTTGATGGTTCAGGAGTTGCCTAARGAGCCCGATGCCAGATCACTGGATGTCCTCGACCTCAACCCTTACACCTTTTACAGGTGAGTGCATTGAAAACAAGCTGAAAAGACAAAAAAAAAAGCCTCACCACTCTGTATGTGAAGTATTTTTTGTTGCTCGTTATTCCACAAGTTACGGCTTTGTTAATTAACTTTATTTAAAAGCATATTTTCTTCAGTTCTCTCGTCATAAACAGACTTACCTGTTTCTGTAATGACTGATTTTTCTCCTAGGTGTTATTAAAGCCTCTTCTTATTAAAACTAAAACAATTAAATCTTTTTTTTAATCGCTGGAATGTTATGATTAAAAAGCCAGATGATTTCTCAGCCATCGGTGGGTGTCCTCTGTCTCAGGTTCAGGATGCGTCAGGTGAACATCGTAGGCACCAGTCCTCCCAGTCAGCCCTCCAGAAAGATCCAGACCCTTCAAGCACCCCCAGACGTCTCCCCCGCAAACGTCACTCTGCGCACAGCCAGTGAGACCAGCCTGTGGCTTCGCTGGGTGGTAAGATGTGGACACCTCTCTTGCTACAGTCAGCAAGTTAAATTGGCTTCTGATGGACTTTTTTTCCTCTGATTTATGCAATGAAGACTTCTTCGCACTCAGATAAGCTGTATTAAAGAGCTTATTTTTCTTTTAACGTTCCTCTTGTGTACGTTCATTTGAGTAATGGTGGAAGGAAAAAGAAATTGGCGATATGTCCTTGGGTTGTAAGATTAGCTTTGTAAAAATTAGATTTAGTCGATTAGGTATTATAAAGTTTGACATTCAGTTCTTTTGTAAATCTACTCTTGTCCTCTTGGGGCTTTTAAATATGATAAATGAACACATGCAATAGCTCTGATGGTGGTTTGGGAAGCTGGACTCAGAGTGTCCTTGATTCTGGCTACTTTCTGCATCAGCATTTGGCAGCGCAGTCTTCGCCACATCTGTSTTTTAGCATTACAGCAGAAGAGGTGAGTCACAGAAGCTTGTCATATCACTGCAACCCCTGCAAGATTAAAAAGAGATGATACACCTGAATTTCAAAACAGAGGGGTGTCAGCAGTAGAATATTGCTTGGCAGACTGATGYCATAGCTCAATGGTAGTGAACTGTCTTAAAGGAGACATATCATGKTTTTACCTCCCTCTTTTTTCACATTTACATCCTTCAGTTGGGGTCTGTAGAAAAGAAACTGCCATGCTTTGATCTGGATTCTGCCTTATRGTAACTCCACAAGCCCCTCTTTCACCCCTTTRCTGAGGCGTGTCTCATATCAACTCGTTTTGAGGCTGTCTCTTTTAGGGTTGGGCAGTATTGGCAAATAATAATAATAATCATGATTAATTGTGGTATTTATCCAACAACGATTAATCCCCTGGAGTCGCTGGATTCCTGTGGCCTAGTCACATGACCAATTTAAATCGTTCTAATGAGAAAGATTTGCTGTCCGTAAAAATCTGTTCCAAGTTGTGTCAAAAGTGACGGCTTCAGGCTATGCATCAGTTTTTGAAATTGTGTCGACAGAAACAGTAAAAACCAGAGTTTCGATAAATAAATTACAGAACTTTTTTWAAAAAATGCTCATCGTATTTGAAGTAGAGAGGAGCATCGAGCGGACTGACCGGGTAAATCCACTCAGTCTGCCTGGTGGCATTAATTGTGTTAATCGTCAAGTGCCAAAAAAAAAATCAAAGTCTTTCTGATGATTAATTGCACACGATACAGTTTTGCACATCCCTAGTCTCTTTAAATCCAAGTGAGGGTGGGAGAGTAACGTAATTGCAGTCCCATGTATGTCTTGTACATATGCAGAAACGACAATAAAACAAGTTGAGACTTGAGACTTGAAGTACACAACAAAATACTCTATATTTAATGGCTAAAACAGCAGATTTTGCATGAGATGTCCTCTTTAAAGATGGATAATAAAAATGTGGGTTCTTATTTATGGCACTCAAAACTGAACTAGAAAAAAATGTGCTTGGAAAAACTCCAAAATTTAGATACAAAGGATATCATGTTTCATGTGTGTTTCTGTCTGTTATCTGTTGTAAAAGGCAATTTCTTATGTGTTATCACTTCATTATTCACTCATACAAGCATGATATGATTTATATTCATTTTAGCTGAATGTGTGAAACAAATCAAAACCAAAATAAAAAATAAAAAAATTCTCTTCAGCCTCTTCCAGAGTGGGAGTACAATGGCAATCCAGATCTCGTTGGCTACCGCATCCAGTACTCAAAAGCGGGATCAAAAGGCGGGGTCCTTTCCCACGTCATCATGGACCGGCTGGAGCGGGAGTTCACCATAGAAGACCTGGAGGAGTGGACGGAGTACGAGGTCAGAGTTCAGGCCATCAARGGCATCGGTTCTGGACCTTGGAGCCAGGCGGTCCACGGCAGAACTAGGGAGTCTGGTGAGGAAGAATATTCCATTTAAACTCCTACAAATTTTCATTAGAATTGTTGTGAAGCGTATTCGTCTCCTCCTGCAGTGCCTTCCAGTGGTCCCACCAACGTGTCGGCGTTCGCCACCACCTCCAGCAGCATCCTGGTGCGGTGGGGCGAAGTCCAGGAGTCGGACCGCAACGGACTCATCCTCGGCTATAAGGTCACTCCTCTAAACGTTTATTCACYGAGACATCACGGTAAATCCTTATCTCTTTATGAGTCATGCTGTTGCATAAAATCTGCATCTCTCAGGTCGTGTATAAGGAGAAAGACTCAGACACAGCCCCCYACTTCTGGACGGTGGAGGGCAACAACAGTCACAGCGTCCAGCTAAGCAGTCTGGGCAAATACGTCCTCTACGAGATCCAGGTTCTGGCTTTCACCCGGATCGGAGACGGAAGATGCAGCTCGCCTCCCATTCTAGAAAGAACCTTGGATGATGGTAAACATCCTTTTTTTTCTTTGCAAAGCAGTTTCATTATGATGTTGTTTTTTCTCTAAACTAATAAAAAAATTCCGTCATGTTGAAACATTTCTGTTTACTTCTTAGTTTTTACTAGTAATTTTTATTAGTATTTTTTTTCCTGCCTTAAAACGTTTTTTTTTAATACTTGGAATGTCACATTTTATTACTTCTCATTCAAAGAAACATGTTTAAGGTTTTTTTTCTTTTTATTATGTGGATTGATAATTTTGTAGTTATTTCGATTCAACACTTTTGGTTTTTTTGTGTATCTCCATGAGTACATTTTTGTCATTTTATTCATTTTATTTTTTTCTCTTTAACAGTACCAGGTCCTCCGGTTGGCATCTTGTTCCCAGAAGTCAGAACCACATCAGTCAGGCTCATCTGGCAGCCTCCTGCACAGCCCAATGGCATTATACTGGGTGAGAATGCATTCTGAGATCAAGGCGAGCCACTGCAAACATATTTGTGTGGCACAATTCAATAGCAAGGAGAATTGAAAAGGTGCTGAACGTAACGCATAAAAGACATTAGGAAAAAGGAATAAAAGCTAATGTAAAAGGACGCATTTGATGTGCGACATAAAACAAGATGAAAATGAAGTGAAATAAAATGAAACCAAACACAGAGGATAGGTTGAATTCTCCTCAGCGTCAACTAAATGGAATAAGAAGTAAATGGATAAACTAATTTTATGCCTTGAAAAAGATTTTCTGTTTTAAAAAACATCGAAAATTTCACCCCTTTTTCTCTTTACTTTTTTTTATTTTTTTATTTTTATTTTTTGGTCTGTCTCGCAGCGTACCAGATCACATACAGGAGAAACTCGTCGAGCAGCAGCGCCGCCACTGTGGACGTGTTGAGCCCCAGCGCGCGACAGTACACGGCAGCTGGACTGAAACCAGAAACGGTTTACGTGTTCCGCCTCACCGCCCAAACACGGAAAGGCTGGGGGGAGGCTGCCGAGGCTCTGGTGGTCACCACGGAGAAGAGAGGTGAGCGGCGGAGATGCTCACATACCCTGTTTGAAAATTTCACCTCTAAATAATAAGCTTGTGCATGTGTGTGTGTGTGTGTGTGTGTGTGTCCGTCAGCACACCCCCAGCCCACGAGCCGTCCCACGGTGCCTCAAGAAGAAGTCCAGGCGCGCAGAGTGCTGTTGTCATGGGAACCGGGCAGTGACGGCCTGTCGCCTGTTCGTTACTACACAGTTCAGTACCGGGAGCTGCCAGACAGAAACTGGACTGTCCACTCCGCATCCGTCAGCCATGAGACTAACTCCTACATAGTGGACAGGTAGTTATGAAAGTCTACTTCCTGGTTGTCACTGTTTTGATTTTAACTCTACTAATGAAGCATTTAAGCACGCACACTTTTTTCTGTAAAGGTTAAAGCCGTTCACCTCGTACCAGTTCCGTGTTAAAGCCACCAACGACATCGGAGACAGTGAATACAGTGAGGAGAGCGAGGCCATCACTACGCTGCAGGATGGTAAGAAGACCTGGAAAGTCTTTTTTTTTATTATTATCACCTGTCGCCAAAGGCAAAAGTGAAGCAATAATGTTTTTTGTCTTTGTCTGTGTGCATTTGTTTCTTTGTCTGTACCCTGAGCAAAATATCTCATGAGTTGCTCAATGGATTTTAATAACACTGGAAAYTCATCAATGACTGTACAATTAGAACTGATTAACCTTTGGACTCAACACGATCCTACATGGCCTTACAAACTCAGCAATAGTTACAAATCTGTCAATTTTACAAACATTTTGATGCAGTGGTAGCTGAAAGTCATTCCAAGGACATCGGCTTTGTCCAAATTAAAGGGCTGCATCCTTCGAAGGACCTACCCGGTCTACTTGGGCCAGGTCATTTGTTGACCAGGAAACCAGGAAGACCAGTAGAATGTGGCTGTGAGTTTGGACCGTCTAGCCTTCAGCTTTATTTCCGTCCTTTTTCCGATGTATCTCTGATGGCCTAGCCACAACAGCATTAAACAAAAGCAAAGAAGATAAAAACATTGATTGAAATGAGCAAAAATATTTCTATTATTAATATAAATGAACAAAATTAGCTTAGGGGCAATACATGAAGAACAAGGGGACCTGCTATATGAACTTTTTATGATAATTTCTGAGAAGTAATATTACGAAACGTGTCAATGCAAATCACAAAACCAGTGGTACAGCAGCTTTCAACTTTCAGTTTTTAAACAGACAGATTTTTATTTAAAACTGTACTCCTGTTTCACTTCGCCTCTCACTTCATCCGCCTGGTCAGAAATTTCCCGGTCAGCCCACAATGCATTTTTGGGTGGGCTGTGAAGGATCCACCGGACCCATCCCTCAAATCGGAGAAAAAAGGAGGACGCACATGCGGGCTGCAATAGACCTCTCGCAGTTACCTGGTAAAAAGCTGAGGGTTCTATTAGCCTGGTTAAAACCAGACCCTTGTCCTTCACTTTACTTCGGGCGGAGGGTCTGGACTCACTGCTGTAGAGAAGCGATTGTTGCTGGAGGCGTGGCCTCTGTTGAAGTGTGTGTGTGTTGTCGCTGTGAAGGAGGCTAAGCTAAGAAGCTAAACGGAAATTGCTTGCGCTACAAACAACCCTACTGAGAGGAGAAAAGTACCGAGCCAAACGAGACGACTGTAAATGAGAYCTGCTGCTTTGTCAGACTAATTTAWTTTAATTTGGAAGCCTTATCAACACGGCCTGGCTTCATTCACTTCCTCCACTGCCGTATGCTAAACTAACTAGCAGACACTGTGCAGAAAGTCGACGTTGTTTAAAACTCCGCCTTCTGTTTGCTGATTGGTCCAGGTAAAATAAAGTACAAGCAGACACTGCGCAGAAAATCGATGTTCTGTTCCCTGATTGGTTCAGCTAAAAATCTGCCAGCGAAATCCTTGTCAATGGGAGAAATGCCAGACGGAGCAGTGAAGGGAAACTAGAATTGAATGGAACTTCTTAGGAATGCAAGGGCCAGGCTAGGGTTCTATGAAGATGCCATCGGAATTGTGCAAATTCAGCAAGCTGAAATTGCCGATTTATATAGATATTTATATAAAAACTATGACCCTAAAGGAAAGTAGAGTGGGTCTGTAAAATGGCGTAAATTTACTGGTTGAATTTGTGCAATTTCTGCAGCGTTTCAACAGAAACCTGAACGTTTTCCGGAAAAATGTGTGAGCCTGGCCCGCTTCGCTCATAGACCCATCAATCAATCCATCTTCTTCCGCTTATCTGGGGTCTGGTCACGGGGGCAGCAGCCTAAGCAGAGAAACCCAGACTTCCCTCTCTCCAGTCACTTAGGCCAGCTCGTCCGGGGCAATCCCAAGGCGTTCTCAGACCAGCCGAGAAACATAGTCCCTCCAGCATGTCCTGGGTCTTCCTCTGGGCCTCCTCCCAGTGGGACGTGCCCATAACACCTCACGAGGGAGGCGTCCAGGAGGCATCCTAACCAGATGAACCACCTCAACTGGCTCCTCTCGATGTGGAGGAGCAGCGGCTCTACTCTGAGCCCTCCCGTACACATTTATAACAATTTTTAATTAAGAAACGCTCTATTGGAGGAGCCTTATATTTACAATTATAATTTTAATTATAATTTATTAATTATAATTAATAAATTAATTAATTATAATTTATAACAGGTATATAATCTGTTTTTTAAGGTTTGACCACCAACAATTAACTCATTTCTCAACATAAGACACTCTACAACTTATACATGAAAGGAGGTGATGTGCATTCCTTCAAGGAATACTAGGTTTTTAATATTTTTTCCTGGCTTTACATCTGTATAAAGAGGCTGTTTACAATCATGTTTAGGCTTTGGATTTTAACAGTGAATGCTTTATGTCAACAGTGTGTTTGTTGTACCAGTTTGTTTGAATTCCATATCAATTTCCACAGTTATGTAAATACGCTAACCTGGTTTTTCCAAATCTTTTCTAGCTCCGGACAAACCGCCAACAATCTTGTCCGTCACTCCTCACACCACCACCTCTGTACTAGTTCGATGGCAGGTAGGATGTTGAACAACTAGACTGTCTTTTTGGTGTGTTTTATTTATTTATTTTCTTAGAAAGAATAGTTGATTATCGCCTGACCTCGTCCATCTTTTTCTAGCCTCCCTCCGAGGATCACATAAATGGAGTTTTGTTGGGGTTCAGGGTCAGGTACCGGGAGTTACACTATGACCGACTGCGCAGCTTCTCTGTCCGCACAGTAAACAGTCCTTCAGCAAACTGGGCTGACTTTACTGGTAAGTTTACCATTTAGCAGTTTCCTCCCATACAAACGCGCTGGTTTTCAAAATAAATAAGTAAATGTTTCTTTCATGAAAACTCCAGCTCCCTACAGCGTCAGGAATTTGACGGAGTCTTCTCTAACACAGTACGAACTGGACAGTAAGTCTTCTGCCTCCCTTTATGCTTCCTTTTTTTATCTCTTTCCATCTGTTTGCTGTATTTTATTCCCACAAAGTAGGCCATTTGTATAATATTTTACAGCGACAGTGTGCCGAGCTTCATCCTCCCACTCAGCTGCAGCCACTGCATATTCTCATTGTGTGTATATGACTTTAATCTCTCCAAGCTGCCCTGTCATTTTTCTCCCTTCCATGCTCTCCTTCTTTTTAATCACTGACAAATCTTCCCACGTGTTCCCACAACAACCCAATCTTTTCATCAGTTTGCATTTGTCTTCCAAACCCCCTCTGCTATTTTTTTTATTTTTTTTATTTTTATTTTTGCTTACTGTATGATGTTGCCTTGCCATGGGCATCTTTGTGACTGTGTGTCTTTTTTTTTCCTGGGGGTGGGGGGGTGTCTTATTTTTTTCTTATTCTTTTTTGCCATTTTATCTTAACTCTTCAGTTACGATGCTGCGCTGCATTCTCTCCTTGCAGATCTGAGTAAACACAAGCGCTATGAGATCCGTCTTAGTGTGTATAACGCCGTGGGGGAGGGTCCAAGCAGTGCTCCACAGGAAGTGTTTGTGGGAGAGGCGGGTAAGTTTTCGTTCCTCAATTAGAAGCATCTGTGTGAGTCTGCTTATACCTCTCATCTTTATTGCCTAAGTGTTTCAAGAATAAACACTCTCAACCACGGTTAGCTTTTGTTTCTTTTTAAACAAGTCTTTTTTTTTTCCTAGTCCCAACAGCTCCTCCTCAAAACGTGGTGGTCCAGTCTTCAACAGCTACTCAGTTAGATGTGACATGGGACCCACCTCCTCTGGATGCTCAGAATGGAGACATACAAGGTTACAAGGTATCCATAATGCCCCAGTTTGAGCTAAACTTTAATGTTCTATGAATTCTGCATCTAGTCGTCTTTATTTATTTATTTATTTTTACAGATCTACTTTTGGGAGTTTCAGCTGCAGAACGAGACAGAGCGAGTGCGAACTCTGTTCCTGCCAGAGCTCGGGGTGAAGCTTAAGAACCTGACAGGCTACACCACCTACATGATCAGTGTGGCAGCCTTCAACGCTGCGGGTGATGGGCCCCGCTCCCTGCCCACCAGAGGGCGCACTCAGCAAGCAGGTGCAAATCCCAGATGTGGCTCAGATCCTTTAAAAAAAAAAAAGGACCACTGGCATTTATTTTGCACCAAAAACAGTTTTCASCCTGATTCCTATTTAATTCCTTACTTACTTTCCAGTTTTTCTTCTCACTGATGCTTTCTTATATTATTTAACTCTTCATCATTTGCAAAATGCTGTGTAGGAAGGGTAATCAGTCATCATCTTAAGTTACTATAAAACAGCGAACTGAACCGCTTCATGTTAACATTTTTATTCATTTTCATTCTTCAGGGTGAGCCACAGTGTACGAGTTAGAAATACAAAGTGTGAGGGACAAATAGGGACGAGTTATTTGGCCACAATTGCACACAGGGGAGTTCCTCCTCAGAGAGTTCAGCACAAAAAGTGGTTTAAAGTATAAATGCCTGTTCTGGGTTATTTTTCTGCCCCTTGGAAATATGACATTAACAAAGGGTATAAAGTGCTGAGAACTTAAATAACACAAGCAGGAATTTTGGCACTTGGAGCCACAGAACACTGGGAAGTGGGCCAACACAAGCTTTTGTGATGTTTTTTTATGCAGAATTATGGCCAAATCCTGACACTGAGCTGAATCTGGGTCGGGTCAGCAGGCAGAATTCTCACAGCTCTTGTTGGAGGTCACAAAGAGATTTTGGAAAGTTTTCTGTCAAAAATTTTTTTCTGGTAATAGCGCCCTCTGCCCAAACATTCCTGTCACATAGATCTATTATTTTAATTATTATTATTTATTAAACCTTTTTTATAAAAACAAAACCTCAGAATGATTTGATAAATAACATTGAATCATGACCCACCATGAATGACTAACAACTACTACCAACCAAATTTTAGCCAGAGGTTGGTAGGAACTGGTCACATTTACTTGTGTAACATTTTTGGGGGGAAAGAACTTTTAAGAGTAGTTTTACTACACTATGCTTTTACTTTATTTGAGCATTTATTATGAAATATCACTATAGATAGATAGATAGATAGATAGATAGATAGATAGATAGATAGATAGATAGATAGATAGATAGATAGATAGATAGATAGATAGATAGNGATAGATAGATAGATAGATAGATAGATAGATAGATAGATAGATAGATAGATAGATAGATAGATAGATAGATAGATAGATAGATAGATTTGGTTGCAATGATTCCTTTCGGTTCAATACTTTAGTCTCACAATACTTTTTCAGTACAAAGAAGAGAAATTTCCATGCCCTTCTTAACTTGTCTTTTATTGAAATTTATCACGAACATTAGTTTAACCTCAAAAGTACATTTTTTAATTAAATGTAGTTGAAACAGCAAGTTTCTCAGTGGATCTACTGTATGTTTGACAACACAGCACATCTTCGGAAGACAAGCGGATAAAATAAATTTTAAATATCTGTATTGTTCAATACATTGTGTATTGAACCCAGAACACTGTGTTGAATGGTTTGATACAGATACATGTATTGTTGCACCCCTTTTATACAGTATATTTATATATCAGAATGAGAAAAAACTAGACTTAGAAAAGTGTTTGCTGGGATTTATTTTATAATATTTTTATTTGCATTTATTTTCTTCATTCTAGTCCTTAAAAACACCAGAATTTGCACATAACTTTCTGTTTTTGTCAGTTTGATTCCATTATTTTCATTTATTAAATCAATCAATGTGATCAGTTACTCAGTACTCAGGTAGCCTCTTTGCAAAATGTTTTTATTCTTACTTGAGTCATTTTTTGAATGGATAATTTTTACTTTTTCTTGAGTAAAAATATTTTTGAAGTACTGCTATGCTTACTTGAGTACAACATTTGAGTAGTCCACCCACCTCTGATTTTAGCACATCTGTTAAAACTCTCTCAGGGATTAGCTGTGTGTTGATTAGCTATATGGTGGCCATTTTGAATTAGGTTGACTCAATAAATCTAGTCATTGTGCTGAAAATATGTGTTGTCAGCTACCACCACACCAAATATTTGCCTCATATCTGTGCAAATGGCTGCTTTACAGCAAATTTTTGTGTCAGCTTTCTGTGGCGGCTAGTTTAGCTCAGTGCTTTTTAACCCCGTTCCTCAAGGCACACCGCCCTGCATGTTTATGTTTCCCTGCTTCAACACAGCTGATTTCAATTGATAACTGATTAACAGGCTTTTATTGAACTGTAATCATCTGAATCAGGTGTGTTGAAACCTCAGTGTGCCTTGAGGACCAGAGTTGAAAAACACTGATTTAGATTAAGCTGACATTAAAAGTTGGGTTTTTATTATTATTTCAACCCAACAGTTACTTTTTGAAGATACCATTAATTAGTTCACGAGATATTTTTTGCTAATAAAAAGACCTAGTTAACTTTAAAACTTTGGCAGTAATATATCTGACATTAAAGCACAAGTTGTTCAATATAAAAATTACAGTTAAATAAGCAGACATAGTTAAAAGCAATACATTATATCAATTTATATATTTAAAAGTCAATGAATGTGTATCCTAATTAAAATAGCTAAAGTGAAATTATAAACACATCTCTTAAAATCTGAGTTTGGGATCAGTCTCAGCCACTACCACCCTAAATTTTGAGCACCTTTTTGTAAAATTGACTAAATTTTAGACAATTTGGTGTTTGCTTTGCTGTGGCAGCCATCTTGAATGCGGTTGGTTCCAAAGATATTATCTCAGTGATTACTTACTGAGAGTTTCAACAAAATCTGTTCAGTGATTTTTGGAGACAGTTTAAAAAAAAAACAGCACAGACAAACGAACAAACGCACACATTCAGAGTATTTATCTCTTTGCCTTCACCTTTGCTTTTGGTGGTGGGCGATTAAATATAACTTTCACTAAAATCCTACAAAACTAGTTCTTACATAAAAAGGTATCTTGCTCATCTCAGAGGCGGTTTTGCAGCTGCTTGTGTGCTACTTTGCATATGATAGATCTGTCATCACAGCTTCATCTCTTTTCTCCACTAAAAGCACCAACTGCTCCCAGCTTCATTCACTTCAGTGAGCTGACCACCACCTCGGTCAACGTGTCCTGGGGAGAGCCCAAGCAGGCCAACGGTATCATCGAGGGCTACCGCCTGGTTTATGAGCCCTGCACTCCAGTCGACGGTGAGAAACTCTGCCTGCAGCCGAACTCCTCTCTCGTTTCATGACAGTTCTCCGACAGTGATTTAGAGCCTCTAACCTCCTAACCATATTCTGTTTTAACTCCTGCTGCTTTAGCTTGTGTTCTAATTTGTTGCAGATGGGCACAGGCCCTGCAGTAACATATATGGCAAGGCTGATAAATTGTGCCGGAATGCTCTGGTGAGACTTTGCACAGATTCCTCCCTCACTGAGAGAAACGTGGTTAATGGCTGGCTAAATGTTGCCGCCTTGACCAGATTGTTGAGAAATTGAGAGCAGATGAGGAATGCTGAACGGAGGCTGCTGAGGTCCCTGGGCTAGCAGGCACCAAGCAAAGCGAGCAAAGCAATAAACACATAAATATCAGCTGGTCTATTCCTGTCTTAGCAGCCAAAAGGCTTCTGGAAACAAAAATATGTTTTGCTTTTTGTGTGTGTGTGTGTGCAAAGATATTTATTTTTGTAGTTGCTCGTTTGGTTGTGTGCGCACAAAGCCTGGCTATTCGTCACTTTGTAGCAAGCAATATCTAGAGTCTTAGTGTTTCCTGTACAGACTCCTCTCCTCGCACTCCAGGTGTCAGTAAGATAGTGACTGTAGATGTGAAGGGCAGCGCTCCTCTGTGGATGAAGATCAAAGACCTAGCAGACGGCGTCACCTACAACTTTCGCATCCGGGCTAAAACGCTCACTTATGGTCCCGAGATTGAGGCCAACATCACCACCGGGCCTGGAGAAGGTAGGTTTCTAAAAAGCCAGCATTCTGGTTTTTCTCTTTTCGTGTCAGCTCAGAGGTTTTGTACGAGGTTGTTTCTTTTTTTTATTCCCTATTTTTATCTTCCCAGGAGCCCCGGGCCCTCCCGGAGAACCCTTTATTTCACGACAAGGCGCTGCCCTCACGCTGCACTGGACGAGCGGGGATCAAGGTCGCGCACCCATTACACGATACGTGATTGAGGCCAGACCTTCTGGTGAGCCAAATGTTCTCGAGTTTCCTGGCGTTGTGGAGTCTGGACAGCTCTTTTAATGTGAACGTTTTCTCATTTGGTCCTTACAGATGAAGGGTTGTGGGATATTCTTATCAAAGACATTCCCAAAGAAGTGACATCTTATACACTTAATCTGGACATGCTACGGGAAGGGATCACCTATGACTTCCGCGTAATTGCGGTCAACGATTATGGCTATGGATCTCCCAGCGCCCCGTCCCCTTCTATATCAGGTTAATTATTCTGTAGATTTGGACAATTTTTGTTTTCACAGAGGGTTTGATGTATTTAAGTATTAATATCCTTTAAATCTTGTGTTTTCAGCTCAGAAAGTATCTCCCTTCTACGAGGAATGGTGGTTCTTGGTCGTTATTGCCTTGGTTGGCCTCATCTTCATCCTCCTCCTGATTTTCATCCTCATCATTCGAGGCCAGAGTAAAAAATACACCAAAAAAGCCGACTCTGGTAGGAAACTCTTCCAGGCTGTCTTAAATGGGACATATCATGCAAAATCCACTTTTTTAGACGTTAAATGCATTTTGTTAAGCTGCTTTACGTACAGTCCTTTAACCATTTTCAAACATATTCAGTCGATCTGTTTGTGCAACTCTAGACCAACAACTGAGACAAATCTACAGAAAATGGAGCTCAAATGACTCCGCTCCTGGAGTCCGTTTTATAGAAGAGGAGTGTGAATGCACACACAATTAAACAAATTATCTAGATTTTCRAACATTGTCTGTCTGACAGGGGAAAGACGAGAGTAAAGGTTATCGCTAAGGGAGCTGAAGTAGACAAATATTATCGTCCGACTCGAATTGCAGCGAGGATCAATAGCAGGATAAATGGCTTGGCAGAAGCTTTAATGCTGGGGCCATTAATTAGATTGAGAGTAATTATATAACCGCAGCACAAGTGGCTCCCATAGCATTGTATTAAGGGTTGGATTTGCAAGGTTGTCAATTAAACCAGTGGGGACCACTGCTCCCAGAAACCCATTTTTCACACAAGAGGGCGTTTATCAGTGTTAGTAGACTTTTTTATTGTTATTGTTAATTATTAATGGTCTGTCAGTAATAATATTATAAATCTGTGACTCAGTTCTTGGCAGGTTCCAGTCATCCAGCAGCTTGGAAGTTTGCTGTGGAAGTGGCACAGCAGTAAGACAGAAAAGACAGAGATGTAAATGTGTTTTTAGTGTGACTATTGTGGGAATGCAGAAATCGAAGCAAAATACAGTGGGAGTATTTTAGTCCCTCGCAACTTTATCCCAAATTTCTGCAGCTGTGAGACGGGTTGTCTCTGACATAAGGTCACAAGACAAAAACTCACACTCTTAGTGGAAAAAAAAGACAAAAGCTCACAAATTATACAAATATATTTGCCACACATTAAAAGCGCATAAGATATATATCGCAAAATCATACATCACATTACAAATGAAAGCATATTGTATGAGATTAAAAACACTCATTGAGGTAACTGCTCAAGCTTGCTCGAGTGAATAAAAATATTGGTGAAAAATAAATTGTGGAAGGTTAAAAGTTGTAAACAGCTCAACAAAAAGAACGTGCTATCAACTCTGAGGTGTCACAAATATCTAATCTTTGGTATTTAAAACATTTAAAAAATGAGGTTTTGTCTGTTTTCATTGAGGCTGTGAGTTTTTGTCTGCACACAGTGAGAGTCAGACCTCATGAACGACTAAACAGAATGAAACCTCCAGAAAGTAATAATTGGATGTGCTGCTAAATCAACTTCTTTATGCTTGAGACCCAGAGTGTTGCTTTGACTCATTCATGCATGTTTGAGCTGCCCTAAACACTTGCTGCTACAAAGCACCACCTATTTGTGCATAGTCCCTCCCTGGAGCTCAGTCCCCAGCCGAGCTCCCGCCCCACAAAGCACCACTCCCCTGATTCATAGTTGTGAAGATGTGCTGAAGTGGGAGTGTCAGAAACAGTAGAATGTTCTTAAAGAGACAGAGGCCAATTTCAAGGTGGTTAGATTGCTAGATWAGCTATGATTTTAGACTTGAAGTCAAATTTAGTTTTGATAGTTGAGTTGTATAATGCCTCTGTGGTCAGGAAAGCCACAGATCACAGAGGACCTGTCACATTCCCTTCACCTTCTGTTTCAGCTTTTACCCTCTTCCAGCCGTTATAAAGTTCCCCTGACCAGGAAAAACATCTATAAAAAAATCATTTGTCTCTTCTGTAATTACCCTACCAAACAAGGCTGCATAGTTACATCACCCCCCACTTTAGGACTGTTTTTAATTTGTTTTGTATGGATATGGGTTTTATTACTTACTGTGTCATTGCTTGTCTAGTTTTTGATGATGACTTTATTGRCATTGTACAGAACACAACAAAATTACATTTAAGAGCATCCATTCAAGAGGCACACAAGACAAACGTGGGGAAACAGCTGATCAGGTCATGCGGCAACCTGAAGGGGCCACGCTACCTTTGATAAGCTTGGAAATACACAATAGGAGGGACTGAGGTCACTTGGGATTTGGTGGGGGGGGGGGCCTTAGAGTCAAACACTTTTTTTTCCTACTTACCTTGAATGTACTTTTTTTTAATGGAGCCCTGATAAAGGGTTCCCCGATTAGTTGTAACATTAGACTTTATTTGATAAACATATATTTTAACTGTAAAATAAAGACTGTAAAAAACTAGTTTTGAAATTTTTTAAAAATATATTTTAACACGGACGGAGCCATTTTATTTACACTCAAAGCATTCTGGGTAAATGARGACGTGGATAGGTCATCGGTGTGAGCGAGCTATATCCACCCTGAAGGTTAATCTTCAAAAATTTCTGATGATTGACCCTTTTGAATGCAGAAAGTTTAGCCTTTTAGCCTTTGCACTAGCGCCAACGCTATACTGCCTTATATGTATTAGCGCAGCGCTAGCACGACAAACAAGCTAAACTGAGGTCCTCCATTCATATTTTCAGTTTTAGGCTGAGTCATTTCTACCTTCCCCTCTCTGTAATGTGGATGGAGGACCTCAGTGACGAGAGGAGAATGTGTAGCGCTGAGCTAATACATATATATGGTGATAGCGTCGGYGCTAACACTAAAYCTAACAGGCTAAGCTGAGGTTCTTCTTCRATGAAGCAGCTCTGTTGTCCTCCATCTATATTTTCAGTTCCAGGCTGAGTCATTTCTACCTTCTCCTCTCTGTCAACGCTCTCTGGTTTCATTTAAAAGAGTCGATCATCAGATATTGTCCAAGATTAACCTTCAGGGTGGATATAGCTCGCTAGCAGCCTCACACTGATGACCTATCCACGTCATCATTTACCCAGAATGCTTTGTGTGTAAATAAAATGGCCCCGTCCGTGTAATATATTTTTAAACTCTTAGTTTAAAAATTATAAAAACTAAACATCCTACAGTATTTTTACAGTCTTTATTTTACAGTTAAAGTATATGTTTATCAAATAAAGTCTAATGTTACAACTAATRGGGGATCCCTTTAAAGACAATATTCTGTCACCTTTGGGACAGACAATAAAGTCTATCCATCTATCTATCTATCTAGCCAGCCAGCATTTTCCTAACAAGTGAAGGCAACATAACTTGATTCTGGTCAAGAAATAAAATATGTGCCTGGAAAATACATAAAAACCCACCTCCTATAATCTTTTCAAGTGTCTGAAGATCTTTTGAAGGTCTGTGGAAAGTTCACTCATCTCTCTTGTTTTTGTCTGGTGAATGTTTGTTAAAGTGGAGAATAAACAGTATTAGAATCTGTGACACGTACAAAGCTTGAAACTTTAAATTGATTTTAGATTTGATCGGAGCYTAAGAATAAAAAAAAAACCTTCATTTTATTGTTTTCCAGGAAATCACTCTAACTGCACTGCACTGCCTCTGACCCACGGGGAGATGGTGCGCCTCGATGAGGGACGTTTCCCAGCCTTGGAGCTCAACAACAGACGCCTTTCTGGGAAAAACTCTTTCTACCGCAAAAATGGCATCTACACCCGGTGAGTTTGCCATCTGCGCTGCTCTGTTCTGGTATTCATCTGAGCATTGCGTTTATTTTTCTTTTGTCCTGCCCCAAAAGAAAAAAAATATCCTGTTTCATCTTCGTGTTTGATGTCTTATTGATAATACTGTCGAAGCTTTATCATGTTTCATCGGTCTTGAGAGGTCCAGCAGCTGATTTGATCCTTCCTTTCCTCTTAACTCATTTATATTCTGTTTGTGGAGGCATGAAACTCTATAAAGGGACAGCACAATACCAGCTGATTAGTATTCAAGAGCATCTGCCCGTGCTCTTTGTCTGTCCATCTCCGCTTTAAACAGAGCGCTTGTGGGTCAGAGCTGCTTATTTCTGTTTTTGGCCTTTCGCCTCTGCTGCAGCGCTGTGAAAGTTATCACACCACTAAGACCCGTCAGCAGGATGTTGGTGGTCCGGCCCTTTGCTAATGTTGAGGTAAACACGAGATAAGAGGAATGTCATAAACTCTGCAGCGTGAGAAACCCGTGTACAGACAAAGGTCGCAGTCGGACGAATAATCAATTGTCTGGTGTTGCAGGTTCAGAGTCTGTGTCTCGTCGCGGCACAAAACAAGCTGTTTTCGTGCACGTAAGCGTGCACGTCGTGGCGGAACGCTCTTGGGGGAGTTGCATGGAAAARGCTCTCCGTGTCCAAAGAGGCCAAGAGAAGCATCAAAAGACCTCGAGCAGCTGCTTCGCTTTGAAGAAAGTCAAATCTGGTCCCACGCTGTTTGCTAATGAAGGAGAAGGTGTGAGCGCGAGTCCCTGTGGGATGTTTGAAAGGATGGAGGAAAGGAGGATAAATTAGACGGATGAAGCGAGGAGGAAAATACAGTGCTCCTAAATAATTCAAGGATCAATGGCCCCTCCCCCGCTGTACTCACATGGCTGCGTCCTTTTAATGTCTGTCAGCGTCTGCCCTCTCACATCATTGCCTTTAACCTAAAGGAGACACGCGTCTGTTGTGTCAACTGTCACGGCCGTTGTCATGTTGTGTCTTCGAAGCGCGCGTTTGACACTGGCAGTAATTTAGCTCCCGCGTGTGCATCCCCGGCACATATTAAATTTTATTTCAGAAGTTGTCAAGGTTGTCTGCTTTATGCCTTAATATTCCACTTGACAGCGCAGCGTTTTACGCTTGTCTGCTCCGCTCCCACACACAGCAATTTTTCATTTCACATCGTTTAAACATTTACTTTCATGCCATTGCTGCTTTAACCAACTGAACAAACTCTTCTCGAACACACACACACCCCACCCTTATTTTCACTTTTTTTTTTACAAGTTGATGCAATTTTTTGAGGTCTTAATGAAATGTCTGTGATGTGCTTTAGTCTAAATACAACAGGATTACAGTACCAAAGCCCTCTTAAAACTGTCCTTTGAGCTATTTTCTTTAGAGCTGATTTGAGGGGTGCAATGATACTCTCGACTCCGCTTCTCCGAGTTCTTCTTCMGGCTTTTTGAGACGGCAGCGTTCACACAAATTAGCCTAACTCATTAATGAGTCAATAAGTYCAAAACTGTATAAAGTGTAGATCAGCACTGATCAGCAAAGATCATCTGTGTGTGTCATGGTGTAAAAACTAATTTAAGACATCAAAATGCCTGAAACATCAAATTATTATCATAAATATGAATGCATTTTTMGGGAAAAATAACATTAAAATCATATTGTGGAAAAATGTTCTCYCTGTTGAGAWGAACAGTTGAGATATTTGCGTGTGAAGTAACAGGAAGTGKTGTCAAAGGGGAATGTCTGTATGTAAACAGAGCYTSGGTACAGTGAGTAACAACACAAACTGTAGAGAAGAATCTGATGATGCCCTAGATTATTTTGAGTCATWATCAGAGAGAGATGAAGAAAAGTCAGGGTTTAAATAAAAATATTTCAATAAACAAAAACCAGGGAGTTCCAGTTCCCCTTTGATGTCACTTCCTGTATCCCTTTCAGTAGAAAATATGCCAGTTGTGTGACAAAATGGGTAAAATCATGTGCATTATGCCAAGTTACTTCAATATAAAGATGTTTGACTTTTTCCATTGAAATTTGTACTTGTACATGCATGTCGCAGGCTCTTTAAAACACAGATACAGGATCTCCCTGGCTGAAACTGTWGTAGAAAACCTGACAACTCAAAATCGTGTGAACATAGAGGACTTTTGCTGCTTTATTTTGAAAATCAGAGACTATTTTAGGCTTGCAACACGTTGTGCTTATTTTTTTTCCATTCATCTGAGTGACTAGCTACTTGAGTAAATGCTATCAAGCCAAAAAAGGTAKACTTTTCAAATGTAAACGCTGATCTGCATATTACTGATGTAGCTCCACGATGTGAAGGTAATTGTTCACTTTTAGGCCTCTTAAGCTTCAGTTCAACTCCAGCAGACCTTAAACACAGCAGCGGTCATTATTTTCAGAAGAAGAAGAAAAAAAGGAGTAATTGTCTGTGCAGATGTTTTTCTTCGCTTCAGTTCATGGACTTAATGACTGCAGTCAGAAGCACCGAGAGGTATTTTTTTACTTGACTTGGTGCTCATATAAAACCTACCTATGGAGCTTAGTTACAGTYCCCAGGGTTTTTTGTTTTGTTTTTGTTTTTTCGGCAGGAGTATTAAATCTTTTTATGACTCATTCAGCTTGAATCATTACTTAAAGTTTTTTTATTATTWTTTTTTTGTAAGGAGGCAAATACAGTTTTTGTACTGGCGCCTGTTAGAGCATCTCATGAAGGCTGCAGCGGTTTGAATCCATTCCTCTGCCTGCTCTCCACTGACCCTGCAAAGATTAGAGGAACCAAGCTAAGAATGAGAACAATTTTATTCCTGGCTTTCAGGAATCTACTTATATCCCATTATGAGCGTTTTCTGAATTYTTCTATCATTTTTATTTCATTTTTAATGATTCTGCACTGAGCTTATTATGTTTTCTATTCAAAAAAAATGTTGAGGGTGTAAAGCTTTTTTTCATTTTTCAAACTTTTCCACAGARTTTCTTTAATTATCTATCTGTCTGCTGCTGGAATAAAAGAGATTTCTCAAATATTTTTGCTTGCATTCGCTGTCCAAAAAGCAAGAGATCCAGGAAGCTTGTTTAATTTTCCCTTTTTGCTTTTTTAAAAACGCTCGCTCATTCCCCACTCTGTGCTTTCTTTCCATCTGTTCAGGTCTCCTCCTAGACCCAGTCCTGGAAGTCTGCACTACTCWGATGAGGATGTCAGTACTAAGTATAATGACCTGATTCCAGCAGAGAGCAGCAGTCTGACTGAAAAACCCTCTGAGATATCTGACTCTCAGGTAAGCAGTGAGTCTGGCTCACAGCCGATACCCAATATCTCGTCTGGAATAAGCAATGAACCCACGGAAAAAAAATGTAAAATTCATCTGACTGAACTTCTCAAAGTGACAAAGTCATCTAGAGAAAAGTTATGACATAAAAAAAGTTTCATTTTATTTAATTTTACTTTTGTCTTATCCTCTGCTTGACATATTGATAACCTTCGTTTTTGTCGCATCAGTTTGGGTGTTAAATTAATCCACAAAAGTAAAAAGGCACTCTTTTAAAACTTGCACAAGTTTATTCTTGCAACGTTTTGATAACTAGACCATCATAAAGCCAACAATTTCAAATACTACAAACATTGTCGTTGATTATAAGTTGTCTTAATTATCCAGCCAGTCACATACAAACACCACAAGTGACATTACGCTCGTCTGAATACTCTAAACCATTCTTATTATTACCACCAGATAGACAGTGATATTTATTAGTCAAGTTTACGGAGCTACAGTTTGGCCATAAAGTTTGATAAAAAATAATAATAATTTGAAACTGAAAATAAAAGTTGAAAATGGATAAAAAAAGTTCAAAACTACTCATCAGATTCCATTTTTTTTAAACTTCTGCCTCTGTTTTAGTGTGGGGGCGGGGCTTCAGATGACATGGGGCGTAGAGTCATGAGTGAGAGCCCAACACGGCGACTGGACAAAATATTTCCAGCTGCWGCGTTCAGGATCTGTGGGAACTGGAAGTGTCTTTAAAACAAATATTTTATGTTTATGTAGTATCATATTTCTTCCAATAAGATTTGTGTTGTATGTTGATATAAGCAGCTCATATCAAACATGTTATTGTTGTCAATTCCAGTCACATAGAATATGAATTATTTTTTTAAAGGTATTTCCAATAGCTACAAGTCCTGAACGTAACAGCTGGGAATATTTTGTCCAGCCACTCTGTTGAGCTGTCAGTCATGATTCCATACCTGCTGTTATCTTAGGCCCCGCCCCCACAACAAAATAGGGCCAGAAGTTTAAAACTGAAAAAACCCTGGGATCTGACGAGTAGTTTTGAACCTTTTTTTGTTTGTTTGTTTTCAGGGCTTTTTTTATTTTAAAAATTCAGTTTCAGCTTCAGCCTCAGTTTTAGTTTCTTTTCTTAAATTATTTTTAACATACTTTATGGCTCCAATTTACCTCCAATACAAGTTCAAGAAAGGCAGAGGAGCAGGTTGTTGCACATTCTGGGCACATGCATCACCCCCACCTTTGCACAGGGTCTTCCTGACTAATTTATTTTCCACCTGCACAGTGAAAACATTGTTCCGAGGTGCTTTGAACAAACACTATCCTCCCCGAAGACACTACCCGGTGTTATTCTTCCCTTCTGCATGGCCTCCCACTCTTTACCTGCCGCTTGTCCAAATAAATGGTGCTTCAACATCTGCTAAGCCGTATAGCATCTCAATAGACTCGCAGATGAGTAAGCAGTTGTCAGGCACGCAGTTGTGCCAAAAGCCTCTCGGAGAGTAAATTGCCACTTTTTTTTTTTACTTGTTTGTGTTTCTCAGTGAGTACAATACACTAAAACAGCAGGAATCACCCACACAATCATTCACAACTTACAAGATTAAAGCTTGTTATTTAAAAGAAAATAGCAAACTAATCCTGTAAACGTGATCTCTGTCCAATTCTAGGACACTCTTGTGTACACGTATCACATTTGTGCTCCGCAGAGCTATGGGTGAGCTGCAGTGTCTCTGACAGATCCTCAATAGAAGTGATTATCTCCCCCTCCTATAGAATATATCACGCATTAATAGATTTAGAGTTGTGAGTAGAGGRTTCATGCAGTCTTATGTGACTCAGTGCTGTGTGCTTTGTTAATAAACAGTGCAATAATAGAAAAAGTCGTTGGCCTTGATTWGAGAACATGAAATTGTAGCTGGTGTTAAAGTGTTTTCTGTGACTGACTCCCAGGGCAGCGACAGCGAGTATGAAATGGATCAGAGCCGGCAGAAGACCCACTCCTTCGTCAACCACTACATCAGCGACCCCACCTACTACAACTCCTGGCGGCGGCAGCAGAAAGGCGTCTCCCGCCCGCCGGCGTACGGCCACTCCCAGCCCGAGCCCCTGGTGGAGCAGGAGTCCCGAGCGCACCCGCCACCCGTGCCCCCGCTGCCCCCTCTCCTCCCCCCGAGCGCCCCGTCCCCGCAGCCGCAGGCCCAGGGCACGCTGTTCAGGCCGAAGGGAAGCCGGACTCCCACCCCCTCCCTGCTGTCCTCGGAACCCCCCAGCCAGCACAGCACCCTCTACCGGCCCCCCAGCAGCTTGGGCTGTGCCACTCAGGCACCTACCGCGGGCTTCTCCTCCTTTGTTTGACACACAGCTGTCCTTCCGGTAACAACAGGAACTTGAAGACGAGTTTTGGATTTTTTATTATTATTATTATTATTATTATTAGTTTATATTTATTTTGCTCTCTTTTTTATTTTTTATTTTTGTCACGATGACTGAGTTTTAACTCAACATTCTAGGCATTGCAGGCATCTTAAATAGTGCTTTCTCCTCTGTGAAGAGTGCGTGTGTATGACTGTTTGGCACGTTTGGTTGGTTAATCTCTGTAATCTGTATTTCATGAAAAGACAATCATTAGAATGTTTTGTTTTTTTGTTTTTTTGCAATATACATAGTTTAATTAAGTTGATGGATGTAAACAAGGATAAACAGAGCTAAAAGTTKTGAAGATTTTAAAAAAAGAGATAATTTCTTGTTTATAAAAATGTGTATTTTGGTTTATCACGAGAGCTTTATCGAAAACAACCACCTTAGATCCGTGTAGAGGACAGAGCACTTACTGAAACTGAACTAAAAACGAGGACAACGTGACGGAGTTGTTGACGAGTGGATGTGAGAAATGGACTCTGATTTGGAGAGAGAGCCACTGGCGGTCAGCTGTGCCCCTCCCCCCGCCCCGCCCAGCCGCCTCATGGTTCTCCACGTTGCTCGCCGCTGGAGCTGCGGTTTGTGTTTACTATACGTACTTGTCTCARATTGTTTACCAGATATTTATATCAGCTTCAAGCTCCAGTTTTTTTTTTCCCGAACATCACTAGTGACAATGTTATGAATGACATTTAAAAGCATTGTGGCACCTTTATAGTAGTCTGAGGATATTGGTTGTTTGCTGGTGCACAAAGATAAATCAACTTTCATAATGTGCAATGCTCTTTAATCTTACTCACAGGAAGTGACTGAGGACCAAACGCACAAACGATAGCATAACTTTTACAGCCACACTATATATGTGTGCTAAGAAAAGCAAAGAACAACAACTCACTTTCTTCATTTTAATCAGTTAGAACAAGAWGTATGTCTACTAAAAGTTTCAAAAGAATAACTTAGCTGAAATTTCTATTTTTTTCCCTCATATGTCTACTTTTTTATAGATTTGTTTTGTAGAAAAGTATCCCTGAAAAAAAAAACTATTTTAAAATTCTGTGAACACCAATATTTCGAACCACAGCAGCTTGTACTGTAGATTTTACAGCCTGACTTTGTTCTGAACTGTGCATCAAACGGTTATTTAAAAGCCTCTTTTTTTTTCCTAAAATGGCCAAAAGAGACAAAAGTGTAAATGAGGACCGTCACAATATACGTGTGTTTAAAATGTTGCAGCGCAGCACGGCATTTAAGGATTTCTGGATTTTCGTTTTCTTATTCTGTTTTTATTTTTTATTTATTTTTTTTGCTATGAAGAAAATATCCATGCAGTATGTTGTGCTTATTTTTGCACCAATTTTGCACATTCTGGTTCATCACAACCGTTCCATGGGACTTTTGCTGTGCTGGAATTGAACCCAAAGTGAATAAAACAGTTTTGAAATGTGCAGTGTGGACATGCATGAAACGAGGGGAACACTATGATGGTTTGCATGGTYAGCTACTATAAAAATMTGTATTTATTTATATTTTATGGAGGAATTTTCTTCATGAATCATCAGAATATTTCTGAATGTTACAGAGAATAATGTATTCATGAGCAAATTAGTCAGGGGGGTTTATAAAGCTGACATATGAGAGGATTAGTGGAGCTTTACAGCTGTTGGACAAACAATGGTTTAAAAGCAAACAGAAACCGTATCACACTCTGCAGACAAGCGTTTTGCAGGGTCAGTCCTCGACAGACCTTTTTTTTTTGCATCGTCGGGGGATACATAAAGTGATTTCTGACACTTGATCCCAAAGTGCAGGAGTGACCTGATTCTTTCAGCAGCAGCAGCYGCGGCGACATGATTTGGATGCATAAGAGCACAAGTTCCAGGGAAGAATTAGGAGGAAAAAAAAGAGCCTGATCTGGTGCAAACATGCAGAAGACCTAAGGGAGMGTGGAGGGGCACAGGTGGTGGGATYATCTCCTTATTTCAGGCCAGGAGACATTGATTTTATACCTGACATGCAAATARGTGGAAGTGGAATGCAAAGGTTTATTCAAGGGAAAAGCATATTTAATTTRAAATGTCTTCTTGCTGATGAAGATGGCATCGTTATCTAAACTATTTTCCATGTATTGGGAGACATTTTTGTGATCTAAAAGCTTTTATTGGGGAAGTGTTCTCCGCGAGCAGCCAGATTGCATCTGTTGTTCGTGGAGACATTAAAATGCTACGACACACTTTGAAGCTCAAATTTGCAAACTAAATGTTACATTTTTGACATTTACTTTTTTTCCCCTTCTTTTTTGCTACCTAAATGTATGCTAATTCTTTCACCAAACACATCCGTAACTGTTCGTCTTCAGACAGGGACAGAATTTCATCGCTCACTCAGATTCACCCACATAAAGAGACACAGAGAAATCCTCACATCAACAAATCTGTCACATTTTTGCATTTCATTCCACTGTCTCCTCCTGGGATCCATTTAATGTGTCCTAATTCTGACTGTGGTTGTTGGTATGCATCAGAGCGCACTTTTTCCACCACGGCTAACTCGTCTCGACTGCTAACTTCAGAATAAGGGCAGATTAATGATGGAACACAAACATAGTTTAATTAAAACTTTCTTACAATTTACACGTTTTTTTAATCATAAATCCTGCCACGTAAGTTCAGTGAAAGTCAACCAAAATGCATCAGATTAGGACTTTTAAGTCATTAACTGAGTTTTAAACTGTTTAATTATTATTGCTGTGCTGAGAAGTAAATTTGGCACTTTTGAGCTTCCTGTGATTGATCTGTYGCCTTATATTTGAAGGTAAAATGTCAGAAATGAAAATCCCTCACATATAAGCACCAAGAAAAGAAAAGAACATTCTGACAAAGCGTTGATGTTATTCTTTATAAAACATTCACATTTACTTCTAATAGCTTTCGAAGAAAAGCAGTCAAAGGTGTCAACGGTAGGAAAATGTAACAATCTCAAAGTAGCTATTATTTTCCTGTAGAAGACTAACTTTGCTAACCACTAACTGCATTTTGTTTTTGTTTTTTCTTTTTTCTTTCTCACAATGAGCATTGAATGTATTAAATGTACATTTTCATTTTATCTCATTTCCTGTTGTAACCAGCTTTCATCGAGCTTGCCGTGACATAAATAAATCATCTTGCTGCAAATACATATAATATTCATCATAATAGTTTATTAAATGTTCAGGAAGAGAGCAGTTTAGCTGAAGCATTTGGGGGAAAGGTCACGTCGAAGAAATAACCTAACTCTGAATCTAGCTTGAGTTCGAACAAAAGGCCACTGCGATCAAATTCTCATCATACAAAGTCATTTTCTCCCATCAGCTGCTGGGACGGAGCATGGGAACAAAGCCAAAGAGAGAGAGTCACTTGTGAGATACCCAGTTCACAGAAGGAAGGGGGAATTTGAAGAAATCTATGGATTGATAAAATTGCATGACTGAAAAATTGATGTGAACAAAATTGAGGGGTCATTTTATGCAGGTAGATCGGCCTTTATTCTCTGATACGTATTCTTATTTTCTGTCTTTATAGTGAGAATGAGGCCAATCTGGAGTGCAACTTGGCTGCTTCCTGCAAACYGTACTAATGGTTGGTCAGTGACTTGGAGCGGCTGATCAGCCTGAAAGTCACACAATCGTTAAAGTCTTTTGTGTTGACAGACGGTGAAAAACGCAGTGAATCTTTATTCCAAGTGTTTTAGCAGAGAAATAAAAGGAAGCAGGGAGAAAATTCAGTGAAGCAGTTCAGCTTTTTGTAGTGGAATGGTTACAACGAATATCTTACCTGTTGTAGATAATGGGTAAAAACTGTGTAATTCTGACCAGACTGAAAAGCTTAGAACTTATGAACTGATATATAT